TATATGTATACACAAGAGAGTTAGGATAGATATATAGCTACTTTCTCTTAGTTCAATGAGAATAAAAATTTGTACTAATATTGTTTAGACAAGATAGCATGCCTGCATCTTGTGCTCTGAATAACTACTATGAAGACAACAATATGCAAAATATATTGCATAATTAATACAAATTATTGTAACCATTCTACTAACCTGTTTTGAAACTGTTTCATTGATAGTTTATCTTTTTTCTCATTAAAATGAATAAAAAAGAAAAAGTAAAAAGGATGAGGAAAAAATTAAGTCTTATTGAAAAGAAGAGTTGATGTTTAATTGATCAATCTTGCATGCCTGTATCTGGTAATCTGAGCAAGAAATTTGATGATAACAATACATAATACAACCATTGTTAATTTTCTGTTCTCTACCATTTGTACTGTTTTATGTCACTTTATTTTGCCACTGTTTTTTTTTCTCTTTAAAATAAAAAATTAGGGGCCGGGGATATGGCTCAGTGGAATAAGTGCTTCCCTGGCAAGCGCAAGGGCCTGAGTTCAATCCCCGGTTCCAAAAAACACACACACACACAAAAAATAAAATATAAAAACTTCAAACAACATAAGGATATTGAAACAGCTTAACAAACAGGACTGAATGGATACATATACTATACTAAACAAAAATGTAAAATGCATAGTGTTTTCAATTGCTCATGGAACATTTACCAACACTGACTGTATGTTGCTCCATAAAGTAAGTCTCGACACACAGCAAAGAATTGAAATTATAGTTTGTTTTCTGACCAGAAAGAAATTAAACTGTGTCTTAGTTACTCTTCTCTGTTGCTGGGACAAATACCCGACACCCAAAATGAAGGAAGGAAAGGTTTATTTAGCTCACAGTTACTGGAGGTTTCTGTCCATATTCAGCAGGGTCCAAGGCACAGCAGCACATAGCAGAGGGCAAACTTTCATGGTGGTGGCAAAGAGCAAGAGTGTAAAAGGAGGAGGAGCAGCAGCTCAAGCAGCTAACTTCTCTTTCCTCCTCACATTGAAATGCAAATTACCTGCACCGCAGTATCCACACAGTAATCAATCACAAACTCCAGAAGCTGCCCCATCACTGTTTGAGGCTTTGGGGGAGGGAAACTAGACACAAAGCATAACAAACTGGAAGAGGAAAAGGTACTGATCTACCCGAATAGAAGCTGGCTCAAAGACTGGCACCAATTATTAGAGGTTTCCTACTATGTCAGGAATTAAACTTTCAGTTGCTAGATGAAAATCAGTAAGTCCCAGCAGTCCTGAGAAAGGGACTGAGGTAGCCAGGGTAACTGGGCAGAGAGAATAAGAAAGCCCAGGGCAGTATCATTTATCAAATGGTCTGGAAGTATTTTAAAATGTATGCCCACACATTTATACATATATATAATACCAGGGGGCTGGGGAGATGGCTCAGTGGAATAAGCGCTTCCCTGGCTAGTGCAAAGGCCTGAGTTTAATCCCTAGTTCTGCCAAAATAAATAAATAAGTTAATTAAAAATAAATAAATAAAATAGAATACTAGTCCTGTTTAGTACACCAATTATAACATCAGATATTTACATTAGAAAAAAAAAGGAAAGTTTGAAAATTAATGACCTGAGTATTCAACACTAGATGTTAAAAAAGAATAAATCCAATGAAAAAATAGAATAAGATATTTAAACAAAATAGATATAGAAAGCATAAAAGAGGCAAAGTATTTCTTTTAGAATAATAAGAGTCACAAACTTCTGGCAAGGTTTATAAAGAGAAAAAAAGTACAAATAAACAATGTCAGAAAAAAACCAAGGGCATAACTACAAATACAACAATTAAACAGATACAAACATAAGTACCTCATATAAATAAATGTGAAAGCTGATGTGAAATAGAAAATTCCCTAGAAAACCATAATTGAACAAAGCTGACTTGAGTAGAAGAAGCAAACCAAAATGATTCTGTAACTATTAAATTGTATTTAGTTTAAATTTTAAAGGAGACACCAGTCCCGGACACTTTTACTTAGAAGTTCTGCCAAATATTTGAGGAACAGATAGTTCCTGGACAAACTCTATCAGAGAACAGAACGAAAGAAAACAACCTTCACCTCATTTCATGAGGCTAGTATAACCTTGACAGCAAAATCAGATAGGGACAATATGAAAATCGAAAGATTATAGGCCAATCTCATTTGTGAACAAAATGCTAAAATTCTAAACAAAATTTTGGTCATTAAATCTAGAAGTTTTAGCTTATGTCAGGACAGATAAATTAGTGCAACACAAGACAAAGTATAATGCAATGCACCATTTTAACAGATTAATTTTTTTAATTAACATGTCATCTCAGTGGACATATAAAACATTTCTGATTAAATTCCATATTCATTCATCTTTTAAAAATTCCACTGGCAAACTAGGAATAGGAACTTCCTTAACTTGTTCAATGATATCTATCAAAAAGACATCAAATTTTTTTTTTAATACTAGAACTTTAAAAGTATTCCCGTTAAAATCAAGATCAGGGCCGGGGAGATGGCTCAGTGGAATAAGCACTTCCCTGGCAAGTGCAAGGGCCTGAGTTCAATCCCCGGTTCTGCCAAAAAAACAAAAAAAACAAAAAAACAAAAAACTAGAAAATCAAGATCAACTCTAATAACAAGCACTAATAACACTGCTATTCAACACTGAACTAGCGGGTGAGGTCTTAGCAATGTAAGAAAAAGTTTAAAAAATAATAATCTCTTGTTGAAAACATAATGTTAAGTGGAATGAATCAGACACATAAGCTTAAATATGTATAATTTCTCTTACATGAGAAACACAAAGTATAAATAAATTAAAGAGCAAAATAAAAGATAATTAGAAACTGTGAGATATATCTTTTGCAAATAGGAAGGGCACCAGGAAATGGAATGAGGTGAGAGGAAGAAGGGGAAGGGGACCTACAAAGAATTAAGGTGTGCCCTTTACATGTACTAACTACCCACAGTGAATGTAATCATCATGTATCACAAACATGTACTAATAAAAATTTTAAAAAACAAAGACTGGATGAGAAAAATGAAAGCTAGCATTCACTCATAAATTACCAACACTAATGATAAAGTTTAGCTGATTTCTTAGTTATAATTTAAGTATATAGAACAACTATATTTCCATATATTAGTATCAAACTGCTATAAAATTTTCTGAAAGAATATTGTTTACAAAAGCAACTGATATCAGCCCAGAAATCTTGCTAGTGATAATATGCAGGCTTTTGTAGATTAAATTGTAAAACATCACTAAGGTTGGGCATGGTGGTACACATCTCTAATGCAGGCAATCCAGAAGGCTGAGGCAGGCAGATCCCAAGCTTAAACTGAGCCTTGCAGATTAGTAACTTAGCAAACCCCCCACAAAACTATAGGTAGATGAGAGACAAAATGACAGACAGTTAGCTAGGGATGGACCCCAGTGTGAAGGCCCTGGGTGCAATCTCCAGTAGAGCAAAAATCCACTGAAATAACATGAAAAAATCTAAATATATGAACAGATATCGTGTTCAGGAAACACTAAATGTCACATATATTAACCCCACAAATTGATTTAGAGATTGAATGCAATTCCAATCAAATTCTCAAAAGTTTTGTTTCCATTTGTGTGTAATTTGAAAAGCTGAATGAGGGAAAGCTGAAATTTATGGGAAAGGGAAGGATTATGCCAAAAATAGCCAAGACAGGAGCTTTAGTAGTACAATTAATTAGTGCCCAGAACTTCTCTAGAAAAATAGCCAAGATATGACAAAAGAGGGACAAAATGAAGGGATATACTCTACCACAGGATAAATGTACAAGAAAGTCCATGGCACTACTGTTCATAATCAGCAAATAAAAATTGCTTGAATTTATGCATTATAAGATGAATTCACAAAACATAAGAGTACATAATAAGGAGAATAAACAAACTATAAGAACTTGCACTAATAACATCTCTGAGCCTGGACTTCCTCTAGCATTAGGTGTATGAAAGCTTGGTAACGGGCTGGGGAGATAGCTCAGTAGAATAAGCACTTCCCTGGTAAGTGCAAGGGCCTGAGTTCAATGCCTGGTTCCACAAAGCAAGCAAGCAAGCAAGCAAGCAAGCAAGCAAGCAAGCAAGCAAGCAAGCTTGGTCAGCTGGTCCTTAAGCTGTCTGAATCGCAGAGTTCACAGCAGCTTTATTTCCAACAACTTTTGGATCATTAGACCATAATTCTTTGGCTGGAAGAACCTTGGTTCTCAAATGCCCCCTGTTATCTGAGGGAAATGTTATACTCCTATTTTTAAAAATATTTATAGCTTTTTCTTGCTTCTCTCTATTAAATTTTCAAAATGAATACTAAATCAGCTGGCTGTCTCTGAAAGATTGAACACCTTTTCCTTAAAATCCTCAGAACAACAAGAAGGTATATAGGTACCAAGAAGTGAACAGAGGAGACAGTTTTTCCTAGTCCAGGAATTATAGCCTTCTGAGAAGCATCTTTCAAAAAGGAAAAGCAATGCTAAACAGTGACATGGTACTGCTGTGTATCCAGCACCTGTCCCCTGAGAGATGATGCCAGGAACCATCACCTTATTTCACCCAGGCACAATCAGACAAGATCAATTTCCAGAAACTTCACAAAGGTAACCAAAACGAAACATTCTAATATAGCACTGAACAGTTTCACTAGAAACCACAAGTTCCAAACACAAAGCATTCCAAGTCAACACTACATACAAGAAAAGTTCTGAGTCAAAAATTCCTGTGATTAAGATGGTCCTTAGCTCTCATTCTTTTTCTTCTTTCATTCTGTCTTTATCTTTTTTTACTTTCCTAACTTTTGTCTTTTGTTATCCTATAGCTACTTCATTAAGTGTTCATCTATTCCAAATTTTAGACTACAGTGAGAGTTAATGGGGGGCATTCTTTGCTCTTCTGTACCCACTCTACCAACACCATTTTGAATCCCACAGAAATAAACCCCACTTACAGCCCCTTCGCCGTTGCAGACCGCTGTTGCCACTGCTGTGTGGAATCCAGATCTTCTGCAGCCTGGTTTGTGTGAGCTCTCCCATCTCTTGAGACATTTTAGGAGTTGAGGTTGATGACACTCCTTCCTATACAGTACCGGGTCTCACTTCCTGTCTTCCGAGCTGTCTTTCCTGTTGCTGTAGCCACAGCAGCAGGTGAAAAGGACTGGGCTGAGGATGCAATGGGTTTCTGAGCCTTTCACAGTCTGTCTCCAGCCCACTCTTGCTTTTCCTCTAGTCCTAGCTGCCTGTGTGACTGTATGTACCAGAGGGGGCTTGGATGCCAAGAGCCAGAGGTTGCGCAGAAGTCAGCAGAGGCCTCTGAACTCCAAGGGCTGTGTACATAGGAGATAAGTTAGAGCCCAGTAAGGAAGGCAGCCAGCAAGACAGCCCAGGTCTGGCCAGTCATTTCCTGCCAATGAAGACAGGACTATTAAGGTATGCAAATAAAAGACCAAAGATATGTGCTTATATCCTGTGTGGGGTCGCAAAGCAAAAGTGATGGAAGTAGGTCTCATTCTTGAAATAATAAATTGGACCCAAGAGTAATATCAAGCTCCAACTCAGAAACAAACACCCACATCACAAATCATCAGAAATACAAGTGTCCTGAGAACAAAAACACAAAGTCCCTAATGAAAAATATAATGTTTTGTGCTAGCAATTAAAGGCCCAAACTGGAAGTGGAAGGTTCACTGCCTCACTGCTCTCTTCCCACCCAAAATAGTATTGTAACTCTTGCCTTTGCCTAGATTCTGCTTTCCCTACTGCAGAGCCTTTCTACAGTGTGCTGTGTGGGGCTCTCCTGGAAAGATGAGCACATATGTGCTCATCTGTATACTCTCTTCAGCCAAAGCTAAATAAATCACTGAACCTGATACTTTGGGAAGGTGCATGAGTGCAGGCATTGCTGAGGAGAGAAATGATAAGCACTGCTCACATGGCTGCCAGCTGGCTTGAGATATTCTATGGATATTGGTAACATGATTTGATCCAAAACTTGTCTAAAGTTCTTCATGCCATGCTGCTGGAATGGAGACATAGGCTGCTGCAGGAGCATGTAGGAAGCAAAATGCAATGGCCTGTAAGGGAGACTAGCCTATAGCAGTCCATAGGCCAGAGCAATTCCTCCCATATATTTTCCCTTAACTACTCCCATTTTCCCTGCCTCCGATTCTTGGTTATTCTGAGGCTTTTATCTGTAGAACTCATGCTTGCCTGGCAGATATCCAAGTGTGTTCTTACTTCATTCTTTTGCAATCTTCCCACCCCCTGATAAACCTCCAGTGATTGGCTGTTAGGAAGAACAACTTTCTTCCACTGAGCTAGGCTGCACAAGGACAATCTCTTGGGGATAGAAATCTCCAATTTCTGCTACCAAGTACTCAGCTCCATTTTGCCTTTTAAGATAAATACATTCTCAGAGCTTTAGTCTACACAAGGGTTAGATTCCTCCAGTTGCAGTCTGTAAACAACGTGAAATTTTCAAAATTAGAGTCCACATAGCTAAATGTCTAGTGAGGCAGTGGATCATAGTGGTTAAAATGGGATCTAGAGATGCACTACCTGAGTAGAATCCCAGTTTTGTCCATTGATGTTCCATTTAATTTGGAACCTTGGAATGATAGCAATACCTACCCTTTTAGAGTTGTTGAAGATTTTATGTTAAATAACACAAGTAAAGCAGCCTGAAAAATGCTAAATATCTATTATTTAACATTGTTATTTCCATTTTGTTTGGGTTTTTTTGTTACTTCCATTTTGAAATAAATGATCAATCACTCCTTTCACTAATCAGTAACTTCTTTTGATAAAGGAAACATACAATATTAAGGCAAAGTGTTAACATTCACAGTATGCAGAACTCTTGAGAATCACTTAAAAAGATGAATTCATTTTTACTTTCCTAGTTTTATGTGAAGAGTTATGTTGAGAAGCCCCCCCCCCACAAAACTTTATACTCCATCTTCTTAGGTAAAAGGAAATTGATGCCTAGGGAAGGGCAATGCTTTTCTAAGGTAAATCTGTGGTAAATCTGTGGCCAAGTCTGAAACGGAATACTGGCAACCCAGTTACTTCCAGTCTGTGGTTTTTCTTTAAGTGATGAAGCTAGCTTGATTTAAAAACATGGTGTTTCCCATTATGTTAAATGAACTAAGTCAAACACAGAAAAGTCAATATAGCATGTTCTCATTTATATGAGGAAGCAAAAGGAGTTGATTTTAAGAAGTTGAGAGGTGAACAGTTGTTACCAGAAGTTGGGAAGGAGAAGGGATAGAAAGAGAATGGTTAATGGGTACAGAATGCAACTGGATAGGAGGGATAATTTCTAATGTTCTATAGCACAGCAGAAAAACTATGGTTGATAACAACTGACTACATATTCCAAAATGGCTAGTAGAGATGATTTTGAATGCTTCCAAATAAATGATAAATTCTTGAGGTGATACACATGCCAATAACCTGATCTGATAACCGCATATTATACACATATACTGAAATATCATATAGTTATCACATATGTCCATTCAAAGTTAATATTTTTAAACATAGTTTTCCAGATTAGCTATGAACTTCTAGAGGTTCCAAATCATACTCTGGAAGAGGTACAAATCCCTTAATTCTTTTTTTCACATCTGTTTTATTTTATTTTTTTAAAATTTATTTATTTATGTGTGTGTGTGTGTGTGTGTGTGTGTGTGTGGCCAGCTCAGCCCACCAGGGGGCGGGGCTGGCTGGCATGTGGTGCTGGGGCATTGAACCGCGGTCCCTGTGCTCTGCTAAGCTTGTTCTAAGTAGGTGCTTTAGACCACTGAGCCATCTCACCAGCCCCAAATCCCTTAATTCTAGTAAGTCTCCTAACTGGTATAATCTTTTTGATGTTGCTTTCTTGTATGCATTTCATTGCTAACAAAGCAACAATATATTCCTTATCATATTTGTTCCTTATAAACATACTCATGGATGGGAAAGTTGCTTGTCAGAGGTAATCTATAGCAGGTCACATGAACATGAGTCTTACGTTTATAGTTTTATCCTCACAATCCTGCCAAGAGGTAAGAAGATAATTTTAGTAGCAAGAAATCTGAGATAGGCAGCTAGAAGGCTTTTAACAAGGTCTGAAAGGGTAAACATGGGGTCCAGGCTTAACAAAACAAATTTAAAACTATGTTGACCTCTGAAATTTTATACTGCTGTTACCAATTCTAATTTCAGAAGTAGAAAAACAAAGCACAAGATTTATGGAAAGACTTCAGCCTAGCATTCAAGCCTCTTATAAATCAAGCCCCAGCCTGCCTGTCCAACCATGTTGCTCTTCACACTCTTATGTTTAAACAGCAGTGGCCCAGTATATGTCTGATTAGGTACTGCTATGGGCTGGGAGGGTACTTGATCGCACTTCTAAATCCCCTTTTGTTTGGCTGTCCAAGTCTAAACATATACTTTTGCTGTTCTTTTCCTAAGAGATAATGTCTATAGAAATGTATTTTTAAAACACTTACTCTACACAGCAATTTTGTACCAATTTAAATTTTGTATTCAGTAAAGCACTATTGCTTAGAAGAAAAAAATTAATTGCAGTGGCTGACGTACTGGGCCTCAAAACATACCACATGCTTTCCAATCTCTGGGCTTTTGCTCAGTCTGGAATATTTTGTCTTCCATTCTCAGTGAAATCTGACTCACTCCTTAAGTCATGGTTTAATGTTCACCTCTTTTGGCAAGTCACCTCTGTATTTTCAGGAGAGGCTTTGTCTTTGATTATCATATCCCCCATGTGTCTTTATTTATCTCAGCAAGTATTCACCAGTGTTTCCCTTATCTGCTTCCCCACTAGACTGTGGGCTCCTTGAGAATGTGAACAAGGTCCTGGTGATCTGCGTATCTTATGTTTGGTTCAGGCACTGGCACAGGGAAAACATTTCTTCAGTGAGCATTTATAGAGTGTACATCTCTCTGCCTAAATGAGACAAACATGTGAACTAGTAATATCAGTTCAACAAGATAAAGAAAGCAATGCAGGAAAGTAGATGAGGATATGATTTGGTCTAATATAGGTAGTGCCTAGAAAGATTTCTCAACTTTGAAAGGTGCAGAACAAAATAAACAGAAGAATGAAATCTCCTCTGAGATGGTCCAATGAAGTAGTTGCAGACATAGGGTTCACTCAATAGAAGATTTTCATTCAGGACTAAAAGCTGAGCCATTAGTTCTAAAATTGGGCTATTGGGGCCGGGGAGATGGCTCAGTGGAATAAGCGCTTCCCTGGCAAGTGCAAGGGCCTGAGTTCAATCCCCGGTTCTGCAAAAATAATAAAATAAAAAAAAAATAAAATAAAATAGAATTGGGCTATTTCTAGGGAAGAAAAGTATACAGTGTGCCTTCCTAAATCATACAGATCCTGATACCCTTTGAGTATAGGATTTGGCACTAGAATCTCATTAAAGGCATCAAAATAGCTCTGACGAACAATAAAATTCCAAAGAGGATTCCTTTATTAGTAATTTTTGAAGTGTATGAGTATGGATACATTTGTAAGAATTAAGAGTGCTGAGGAGAGGTTAGGCCACACTCAAAGGTTAGATGCATGCATAAGTATATATCAGGCCTTGCGAGACAGCAGCTCAGGATTAATTTCTTTCTGCCCCAGCTGACCAGCCCCATGCCTATGCCCCAAAACTATTTTCAGTACCACGCCTGCGCCCCAAAACTCATTGTATCCTATTTCTAGGAGTGGCTCTCCACAAACCATGGCCACTCAAGGAAAAAAGCAAGTAGTGGGTTGTGGGTGGTACTGCCTGTGCATGCTACCAAAAAAGGGCAGGTTCATTAATCTCAGAGCATAGAAGTCCTAAAATGTCTTTAAAGAACTCTGCAACCTGTCTTCACACCCCTCTTGATTTTCAGGCAGTTTTATGAGGAAAAAAGTGTAGGGATTTTAATTTCCATCTTACTGAGGAGGCTACTGAAAGAAACTATATAGCTTGTTCAATGAGTCATAAAAAAATTTTGCCCTACTCTGTACACCACAGAGGTCAGAGATCTAATCTCAATCCCACATTTTATTCAGAACTAGACTTTACAGATAAACTGGAGAGAATTCAAGGAGCTAAGGAATTTCCCATTAGGTTAATATATTAAAAATTCAAATCAAAATGTACAAAAATACACACAGATTAGCTACAGATGTTTTCCTACACCCTTTAATGCATAGCTCCACTTACAATGTATGCAAAAAAACTTTTAAGAGAGCCCAAAGAATGAATTTGTGTAACTCCTGTCTATTTTTTCCTTATTTCTCACATACCTGTTCTCTTAGAGAATTTTTCTTCCATCGCTAATTATCCAACACTCAGCTCTCTTGCATTTACAGACCTCCAAAGCAAGTCCAGTGGGTGGCATCAAAGAGGGAACCTGGAGAAGTTCACTTGCTTCTGGGAAGGCTGAGGAAGCACCCTTGTTAAGTGGTGTTTGTGTGCTCTGTTGAAATATCAGCTGTTGTAATTGCCAAAGAAGTTCCTGAGCCACTCGGAGCCTTTTCTCTTCAGTCCAACCATGTGTTCACCTTGCCCCAAAGGTCAGAACTAATATTAACAAGCAATGGCAGAATGCAGAAATTAAAACCAACTATTGAGACAAGCAAGATACAGATATTCTTGGAGCTAAATGTCACACAGATCTTCCGGGTAAATGGGCACAATTCCTTACTGGAAAGCAATCTGGCAAAATGAAGCAAGAGCAATAAAAATGTTCATTTCCTTTGTCCTAGTTATCCCACTCCTGGGATTCAATCTGAGTCAGTAACTCCCAAATCTGGAAAAATACCTCAAGGCACTTTTTTTTTAAAATTACAGAGCTATTTTCTGATGGCAACAAGGAGGTAACCTTTATGTCCTCTGAGATGAAAGCAGCTCTTTGATTATTTTTTGTGCTATTTTTTTTTCTGTAGCCATCAAGGATGACTGTAAATTCTGTGAAGTTCTGGGGAAAAAAATCATTATGCTGTGATTCTGGGTGAAAACCTTAAGGACATGGGACATGTCTTATTATTCCTATTTTTGTATTCTCAATATAACCCATGAACCTGTTGATATTGCTGTTTATCCAACAAACATTTACTCCCTAATTCCTGTTTCCAGTATTAGGAAGCAGCACTAACAAGATGAATCAGCTTATGGTCCTTACTCTCAAGTTGATGGCAATATAACGGTAACAGAAATAGAAAAATCAGCCATGTGTCATGGGGAATGCCTGTAATTTGAGAGGCTGAGGCAGGCGGACCACTGTGAATTTGAGGCCAGCCTAGACTACATAGTGAATTCAAGGCTGGCCTGGAGTTTACAGCAAGACTCTGTTTCAAAACGAACATACTAACCATCAATGGTAACTGTGTATTGTCACTGCTGTGACGGAACAGTGTTGTGGGGGCCGTTGTGGGGGCCAAAAGTAAAATATTTAAACAGATCTGAATTATGTGGTCAGTAAAATCTTAGTTAGAAAAACAATCCTTTAGCTACTAAGATAGGTTTGAATCCTGGCTCCATCACATCTGTGAAACTGAGGCGAAATCACTCAACCTGTCCTACTTAGCTTAAAAGCTGTTTAGTTGTTAATCCAGACAATGAAATGGCATACTGTAAACGGAAAAGCTATGTAGGCATCAGAAAAATGATGCTCTGCAGTTCAAGTTTTTCTGGACCTTCGTTTTACTTATCTGAGCCAGTGGTATATATGTGTCTGGCACACCCTTCTAGATACTATAAGGTCCTAGATAAATGTGGCTATAAGGTAGATTTGAGAGTTTCTGCCTGCCCCAATATAGCCAAAAGCCGTCCTCTTCAGTCATATTCCAGTAGACCTGTTCTTACTGCTCTGTTCTCCAACTGCGAAGTTCGCTAAATTTGCTTTACCCCTACTGCAGAGAGTACATTATGCCAGAAATTCCTGCGCCGCTGGCGTCTCAATGAAAGGTATACTTAGGTGGGCGGTCTTCAAGCTGGGGACAGGATTTGCGCTGCAGGGCGGTTCCAATGAGTTCCGCCGCTTAACAATGATGAAATCCTACTTATAAGTGACCAGACGCACCAAGCGTGCTTTTGAACAGAAAACAAATAAAATACAGTCAGATTCAGGTGTTCCGGCCAGTGTGCGTTCAGAGCAGGAACCCAGCAAAAGAAATTTATTGTCGCCATTCATTCTTCCTCCACTTCCGTTCCACCCCTTCAGCGTCCACCTAGCTTGTTCCTCCACTAATACGAACGAACTCACTGGCTCTAAGTCCCGCCCCACGTACGTCAAGTCGTTCGGTGGCACGCAAGAACGCCTGCGCAAGCGCGAGCGGGAGGTGGGGCTTAGCCAATTTCCGACGATGAGGGTTATTGTCTCAGTGAGGGGCTTCCTGGTTTGCTGAGATGTTACGTTTGGTGAGTTGGAATATCAATGGAATCCGGAGTCCCTTACAAGGGGCCGTGTGCCAGGAATCCAACAACTGTGCCAGCGTGACCATGAAACGTACTTTGGAGGAACTGGGCGCTGATATCGTCTGTCTCCAGGAAACGAAAGTGACCAGTGAGCGTTTAAGAGGCCAGGATCCCTGTCATGTTGTCTTTTTCGCACCAACTTTTGCTTTCTACCCCAGTTCATTTTACTTTCCCACTTCCCCTGTAACTTAAGAGTTCTGTCCTTAGTCCCCAAATCCTGCTATCTTCCCTCTTCAAGTCGTTTCGCCACCTCTCTATGTTCTCTGATCGCATTCCATCCCCTGTCCTTGGCAGAATTTCAGTTGCCTCCTTTTTGGAACCCGCGTACCCACTCAGACTCTCATTCATTCTGCAACCCCAACTCAGTCCCTTGAATTTCTTCCCCCTATGTCTCTAGCCCCTGCTCAGATCCTCTAATTGCCCCTCCATCTTTGCCTCAGCTCAGAGACTAGTACTTGCCTCTATCTAAGATGACCAGTTTTCCCTGTCTACTCCCATCTCTCTTAGTTCAGAGCCCCATAATTCCTACTTCATCTCTCACTCCAAGCTTAGACTTCCCTGATTTGCTTTCTCCCACCAGATCCCACCCCCTAATTTCTTCTAATTTCTGTTCCCCTCGTCCCCAGTTCAGGTCCCCTGCCTAATTCCCTCACTCTGACCTCTTACCTCCAGTTCAGATTCCCAGTTTCAAGTCCCATATTCCCATTTCCCACCTCTCCCTCCTGTCGTGTTAGACCCCCAGATTAGCTTTGATTCTCTGCTCCCTAATTCTACATATCCCATCTATAGACTTTCTAGTTCCCTAACTTCTCATTTTGGTATCAATTCTCCCTCACTTTTTTACTTTTCTAACTCCTCTAATCATAGAGATCTGTACTTGATTTTGCCTCCTACTGCTGGCTCTGATGTATGCTAATAATTATTAGCCTGCAATTTACCAATTCCAGGCCTTTCTGTGTCCTGGGTCTTAGTTTAACTCTTTGAATTAATATTACACTTTTTTCCCCAGGGGATGTGCTGACAGAACCCCTGGCTATTGTTGAGGGCTATAACTCCTATTTCAGCTACAGCCGCAGCCGAAGTGGCTATTCTGGTAAATGGGGCTTTCTGGGGGAATTAAATTTAGTTTTAGTGATGGGAGGAATTATGGGGAAAGGTTTTCTATTTATTATTTGATGAGAAGATCATAACTTTGGACTTTTAATCCACATAGTTAAAGCCCAACAAAATTAGGCTACATGAAATATGATTTTTAATGTACAAATTTTCCTGTTGTACCTCAGAAGTACAGTGTGGTGGTTAATTGTATGAACTTTAGAGCCGGTGAACCAGGGTTCAAATCATAACTCATGTCCTAGCTGTGTGCCCTCTAGTGAATTATTTTATCTCTTTGTGCTTCTCTAGTTTCCAGCAAGAGAATGAGGATAGTCTATATGTGCTAGGGCTATTAAGAGGATTAAATGTGTTAATCCATGTAATAACACTGATACTATATGAGCATTTAGTATTCATCTAAAACACATAGAATATTAAGTATTAATATTATTTTGTGGTATTTTTAGATGAAGAAATTGAAGCTCCAGGGTAAGCATGAAGTTGCCCCAGACTCTAGGGAGCCATCTATGGCTGTTGGGAGAGTTTTAATACATAAAAATAAAAATCATCTTTGTAAAGTTGATCAGACAACTTATGTGGGGATAATTGGGAGTGGATAGTCTGTATAACCAGCTGTTCACTGCCAGTCCTATTGAGCGTACTCTCTGTCTGTCCCTAGGTGTAGCCACCTTCTGTAAGGACAGCTGTACCCCAGTGGCTGCTGAAGAAGGCTTGAGTGGCCTGTTTGCCACCCAGAATGGGAACGTGGGTTGCTATGGAAACACAGATGAGTTCACCCAAGAGGAACTCCGGGCTTTAGATAGTGAAGGCCGGGCCCTCCTTACACAGCACAAGATCCGGTAATAGCCTATATCCCCCTACTATTGAGCATTGTTGGTTCTACTCTTACTGTAGAAATTTTAAGATCTGCCATGTAAACATGAATTCACTATAAAGTTCCTGGGACTCTTTTTTCTGGCTGGGCTGCTTTCTATGTGACACTGACAAATCATCTTCCTGTCTGAGTCTTGAGTTTCCATCTTTACCTTGGGGGACTGGCCTGATGATTTATCTCTTATTACCACAAGTACATTGAAAGTACCTTAACCAGTGCCAAATTCCTTGTCCAAAGTTGCTCGTTCTGGATGAGCCATTTTCATGAATTATCACCTGGTTTACCTGGATGGCATTCTGCATGACCCTTTGCTTGTCTGACCTATAATCTCTTCCCAAGTCATGTGTTTGTTTGCTCATTAAAGTTTCTGCAACCCCTTTTCTATACTGTGGAAAGTTATTAAGTGAAGTCATATGGTATAGATACAGAAAAGGCTTCAAACTGACTCCTTTGGGTTATTTATTTTCCATAGAACATGGGAAGGAAAAGAGAAGACCTTGACCCTAATCAATGTGTACTGCCCCCGTGTGGACCCTGAGAAGCCTGAACGACTGAGCTTTAAGATGCGTTTCTGTCACTTGCTGCAGAAACGAGCAGAAGCCCTTCTGGCAGCTGGCAGGTACTGTCAGTTGAGTAGCAATGTTTCCTCAAGATTGTCCTGGGATTTCTAGGCCTGTGTCACACTTCTTTGGAAGGCAAATGGCATCTTTGAGTTCCTGCACAGTGCAATTGCAGACCCTTCTATGCCTATTTGAATAGACCCTGTTTCTTTTCATTTAATTTTTAAAGAGAATTTTAAAAATTAGATAAAACATTAGAAATGATACAGAATTTCAAAAAACCCACAAGATAGTAGGAATTTAACAATGATTGTTAAGTTGCACATTGTTGCCTTCACAATTGTTGTTCAGAATACAGACATAAGCATATAAAAGTCTTCAAAATAAAAATTTTAAGCATTAACTACTCCCTTCAATAACCAATAGAAATTAGTAGTACAGTCATCCTAGCTATCCTGTGTATATGCTTATATTTTCCCCCTTCCTCCTTTCTTTATTCATTTCTGTCATCCCAATTGTTCTTTCCTTTTGAGCAGTTTCCTTCTCTTTTACTATATCTATTGTATCTTTGAGATTTTATTTACTCTTTCTTTCTTTTTTTTTTTACGGAACTGGGGATTGAACTCAGGCCCTTGCGCTTGCCAGCGAAGTGTTTATTCCACTGAGCAATCTCCTCGGGCCTTACTTACTCTTTCAGGTTCTTACACTAAAGAGACAATACAATGTTGATACATGCAGGTCTGATGTATTTCACTTATGAATATGGTCTGTAGTTGCATCCATTTACCTATAAAAGCTTTGAGTTTATCTTTTTTATAGCTGAGTAATACTCCCATTGTGTAAAAATGCCACATCTTTTTTTATTCATTCTTCAGCTGATAGACATTTGGGTTGTTTCCAAGATTTAGCTATGGCAAATAGACCTTTCTTTATTAAAAGCTGTGAGAAGGGTCCCGAGATATAGCTCAGTAGCACAGGTGCCTGCCTGGCAAGTACAGGGTCCTGAGTATGATCCCCAGTACCCACTCCCTGCAGAAAAAGATCTGTGAGAATAAGACAAAGTAAAACAAAAAAGTTTTGTGCTTTGAGTTCCTATCCTGACTCCTCTTTTAACTTACTGGCCCAAAGGCTAGCCCTGTTTATGGTTTTTGTCAAGTAAGTGTGTGAAACTTTACTTCACAACAGGGAAGTAAGGGTAGGTTAGAGAACTTAGGGCTACTTCTAAAAGGAAGTAAATAGTACCTTGAGCTCAGCTTTGAAGGACAAGACAGATAACATTAGATAGAAATCACTGAGGTGTCATTCATACAGGGAACAGTATCACATTTAGAGCATAGACTTTGGTTGATCGAGTGTGAAAGAAATTTAGGTTATAGCAAAACTAGAGATGTAGATAGTTAAGGGAAGAGTAGTTATTGACTAAAGCCTTAGTGTAGGGTGTTGGCAGTCTGAGTCCTTGAACATGAGAAAAAGTATATGGTGCAGGACTATTTTTTCCTTTATTGAATATCTGGTTCACAATCCCAAGTTGTATTTTTCAGCCATGTGATCATTCTGGGTGACCTGAATACAGCCCACCGCCGCATTGACCACTGCAATGCAGTCAACCTGGTAAGGCTTACTCTAACCCCAGACCCTAGTCCTAATAACTGTGATTCTATTAACCCATCCAGCCCAGTACTTGACTTTTTGGAGCTTCTTCTATGAAAAAAGTAGAGCTTAGTTTGAGGTGCTGTTCTTTCTTTTTTAAAATGACACATAATAAGTATTTATCAATTATAATTTGATACTTGTATATAGTATCTAATGATCAACTCAGTTAATTAGTATACTTATCATTCAAGCATTTACTGATTCTTTGGAAACTTTCAAAATCCTTTCTGCTACCTTTTATCCCCCTATACGGGGTTTTGAACCTAGAGCCTCACACATGCTAGGGATTGCCCTGCTACCTCTTTTGACATATACAATAAATTGAGCTTATGTTCTCATTATATTCACCCTACTCTGCTATGGAAGTTTTGTACTTTATCAAGCTCTATTTTTACCCTTTCCAGCATCTGGAAACTCCTATTCTCTTCTGCTATGACATAAACTTTCTTATTTTCGACATGAGTGGGATCGTTAGGGTTTTTTCTTTTTGTGCTTAGTTTATTTTCATTTAACATGATGACCTTCAGTTCCGTCCATTTTGCTGCAAATGATAGAATTTTGTTTTGTAATTCTTTATAAAGAATCATTTTTTAATCCCTTTCTCCCTCACTTGCCTGTCTCTCCTCCTTGTAAAGATCCCTTTCCCAATCATCAAAAAGTCTTACCTTCCTATTTCTTGACTATTTTTCCTTTATTTTACACTATCAATTATATTTTGTATTTCCCATATAAGAGGAGACAGGCAATATATCTGTATCTGTTTATCTGTTTTTTGGTAATAAGGTTATTTTTATAATGTTATCTGCCAGTCTGTGAACAAGGGAGGTTTATCCACTTTCTACCGTCCTTTTGTATCTCAAAGAGTACTGTAGTTTTTGTCATAGAGATCTTTTACCTTACTAGGTTGATTCCTAGGAATTTAATTTTTTTGGTATTGTGAAAAGGGTTGTTTTCCTAATTTTTTATTTGCTAGGTTCATTGATAGTATACAGGAAAGCTGTTACCATTTGTGTCTTGATTTTGTTTCTTTTTTTTGTTATTGCTTTGCTTTTTTTCCCCATAATTTTATTGATAAACAAATAGCAATGGGACAGTTTCAAATTGCAATGAGACAGTTTCAAATCAAATTGGTAGGACAGTTTCAATAATTCACACATTGCATACATTCTTCCTAGTGGTTAATTGCTTGATTTTGTTTCTTGATACTTTGCTACATTTGTTTATTAGCTCTATGAGTCTTCTGGTAGAGTTTCTTGGATCCCAATATGAAGGATCATATCTTCTGCACATAAAGATAGTTTGAATTCTTCCTTTCCTATTCCTATCCCTTTTATTTCTTTCCTTTGCTTGATTGCTATGGCTAAACTTTTGAGTACTGTTTTGAACAGGAGGGGTGAGAGTGAACACCTTTGTCCCTTTCCTGATTTTAGAGAGAATGCTTTCAGTTATTTCCCACTTTTGTGGTGTTGGCTATGTGTTTGTCATAAATAGCTTTGGTCCTTCTATACCTATTTTTGTTAGGGTTTTATTTTTTATTATCATGAATAAATATTGGGTGATGTCTAAGACTTTTTGTGCATCTGTTGAGATATTTATATAATTTTTATCCTGTTTATATGGTGCATTGCATTTATTTATTTACATATTTTGTATCATCCTTGCATCCCTCTGTTGAAGTTGACTTGAGTATGATGTATGATCTTTTTAATGATTTGTTGCATTATTTTTACAAGTACCTTGTTGAGTTTTGCATCTTATCTTCGTTACAGTTATTGGCTTGTAGTGTTCTTTTGCTGTCAGGGTACTACTGGCTTCAAGGAATTAGTTTAGTAATGTTTCTTCCTTTTCAATTTCATGGAAGAGTCTGAGAAATATTAATGTCTTCGCTGAAGTTCTTGTTCAATCGATGGCGAATCTGTTTCTGTGGTGGTCCTCGGATTTCCCTAGTTGGTTTTTTATTCTACTGTTTCATTGCCTATTATTGGTCTGTTCAGAGTTTTATGTCTTTTAGGTTTAATTTTTTTTTCAGAACCAGGGATTGAACTCAGGCCCTTCCACTTGCCAGGGAAGCGCTTATTCTACTGAGTTATCTCCCCAGCCCCTAGGTTTAATTTTTGTAAACCATTTTTGTCTAGGCATTTGTCCATTTCCACTAGATTCTCTAATTTACTTTGGAATATCAGTTTTCAAAATAGTTTCTTAAACATAGTTTCCTAGTCTCTGGATTTTAGTGATACCTTTTGTGATTTTACTGTTCTCATACATGCTCTGATACATGTCTTTGCTTTCCTTCTTTTGATAAGTTTGCCTAAGTCTATTTTACTTATCCATTAAAAGAACCAACTTATGTGATTCATTGATCCTTTGTATTTTTAATCTCAATTAATTTCCACCCTGATCTTTTTAATTTCTTTCTAGAAAGACATTTTTTGTTTTGGATTTGGATTGCTTTTGTTTTTCTAGGATCTTGAGCTGCATTATTAGATTTTTTATTTGGGATTGTTCTCTTTTCTGATACACATATTTACCAATAAAATCTCCTGTACTGTTCTCATTGTGTCCCACAGATTTTGGTATGTTGTTCTGCCATTGTCATTTGATTCTAGGAATATTTAGTTTCTTCTCTGATTTATTCTGGGACCCCATGATTATTTTAAAATGTATTATTTAATCTCCATGAGTTTGCCTGGTATTTTTGTTTTCTTTTGCTGTTGATTTCTAGTTTCATCCTTTATGATCTGGTAATAAGTAGAGGATTATTTGAATTCTTTTGTATTTACTTAAGTGTGCTTTTTGACCTAAGATATGACCTATTTTGGAGAAAGTTCTGTGGGCTGCTAAGAAGAATGTGTGTTCTGTTATCATTGGATGAAATACTGACCTGTTAAGTTCATTTGTTTAATGGTATGGTTTAACTCTTTCTTTGTTATATTTTTGTTTGGTTTACTTGTGTGTGGGTAAGAGTGGGATAACAAAGATTTCCCAGAATGACTATTTTTGTATTTGTCTTTTATGTTAAGTAGTTTTTGTTTTATGAAGTTGAGTACAACGACAGTTGGTGCATATATATTTATAATTATCACCTCCTGTTGAATTGTTCTCTTCAGCAGTATATGGTGATTTATTTTGTCTCTTCTGAAGAGTTCATTTTGTCTGAGTACAGGATAACCTCTCTTGCTTGTTTTTGTTTTTTTGTTTTTTTTTTTTGGTGGAACCGGGGATTGAACTCAGGACCTTGACCTTGCTAGGCAAGTGTTTATTCTACTGAGCCATCTCCCCAGCCCCTCTTGCTTGTTTTTAGTTCCCTGTTTGGAATGGTTTCCCATCCTTTCACTTTCAGTCATGTGTTTATTTGTGGATGATGTGTGGTTTTGGAGAAAACAAATTGGTCTTTGTTTTTTGTTGTTGTTTGTTTATTTAGTTTTTATGTATTTTAGTACAGGGTCTCACTACTCAGATCAGACTCATAGTGATTCTCCTGTTTTGAGCCTCCCAAGTGCTGGGATTACAGGTGTGTGCCACCCCACCCAGTCTCATTCGCTATGTCAGTGTGCCCTGGGGGTGGGGCCTGCACAGCAGGTGTTGTTGTTTTGTCTTTTTTAAAAAATATATTTGGTTGTTACAAGGTCTCACTATGCAGCTCTGAGTTGTGGTGATCATCCTGCTTTCATCTTCCCCAGTGCTGGGATTACAGATGTGCTTCACTATTCCAGGACTCTGGCCAGTTCATCCCACCCTAGGCGCTTTAGTCTGCTAAGCTATCTCGCCAGGCCCTGTTTTGTCTTTTTTGTGTGTTTAGTACAGGGTCTACAGAGCCTTACTACTCAGATTGGACTTGTAATATTTTTTTTTATTTATTTATTTTTTAATTTTTTATTTATTTTTTTAAAAAAATTTTTTATGTTATTTATGTGTGTGTGTGTGTGTGTGTGTGTGGCCAGCTCAGCCCACCAGGGGGGGGGCTGGATCTCATGTGGTGCTGGGGAATTGAACCGCGGTCCCTGTGCTTTGCTAAGCTTGTTGTAAATAGGTGCTTTAGACCACTGAGCGATCTCACCAGCCCCTGGACTTGTAATATTCTCCTGTTTTCAGCCTCCCAAGTGCTGGGATTGCAGGTGCGTGCCACCATGCCTAGTCTCTTTTGTTTTTTTGAGACAGCTGTTCAGCTATGTGGTTCAGGCTGGCCTTTAACTTTGTAGCCCAATCTGTCCTCATACTCCTGCCCTCCTCAGTGCTGAGATTATAGGTATGTGTCACCACACCCAGCTCTGACTTTTGTTTTTTGTTCCAGTCTGCCAGTTGGTATCTTTTGATTGGGGAGTTAAGACTATTAACATTGGATATTTTTAAAAAATAATTTTATTGAGAAACAAATAGCAATGAGACAGTTTCAAAACTGATTACTAGGACAGTTTCAATAATTAATACATTGCATATTGTTGTCTTCTTAGTGGTAACATTGGATATTATGACTAATAGGTATTTATTGATTGTTATCATGATATTTTTCCAGTACCAATTCTTTTGTTTTCATTTTGTTTAAATACTCTCTCAGTTAGATGAATTGTTTACTTTGAGATCTTTGTTGATCTTAGACTTGTTATCTGAGTTTAGAATTCTCTTGAACATTGTCTGCGATGGTGATTTAATGGTCATGAATTACTTTTTTTTTTTTTTTGCGGAACCAGGGATTGAACTCTGGTCCTTGCGCTTATAAGGGAAGCGCTTATTCTACTGAGCCATCTCTCCGGCCCCATGAATTACTTTTTGTCATGAAAGATTTTTATTTCTTTGTTATTTAGGGGGTGGGCTGAGACGTGGTCTTGCTATGTAGTTCAGGCTTTACTTAAACTCATTATGTACTCATCACAGTGCTCCTACCTTAGCCTCCTATGTGTTGTGATTATAGACATGTATCACCATGCCCAGCTGTCCATTAATTTTGAAAAATAAATTTG